GACAGAAACCAGACCCAGAAAGACACACATGGTATATACCCACTTATAAGTGGATATTAGCCATTCAGTACAGGATAACCATACTACAATCCCCAGACCTAACGAAGCTAAGTAACAAAGAGGACCCTAGAGCAGATATTTAATTCTCCTTCAGATAGAATAGAATAGATACTGAAAGCATTTGAAGAGAGGGAACAGTACTGGAGCCTACCAAAGATGTCCTCTGAAAGACTCCACCCAGCAAGGGATTGAAGCAGAGGATGAGGCTCACAGCCAAATTTTGGGTAGAGTACAGGGGGTCTTGTAAAACTTTTCTTTAGGACATACTAACCTGTACTACATAGATCCTCCACTATTGTTGAATACATCTTGGATTTTAAAGAAATCTTGCTAAATATTGGTATCAAAAAGTATAATAAAAAAAAAACACCATCCTTTTTATTTCTAAATAAGATTATAAAATTGCTATGATTATACATAAATTAATATGTGTTTATACAATGTATATCTATGACATTTAAAAAATATTCATTGCATATTGAATAATGATTAGGTATACACTATTGTATATTATGGGACACAAATATATAATATAAAATAAATAACTATGTATCCATTTCATTTTATACTTCTCTATATCTCTTCTCTCTTCTGCCAAGGAAAGGCTTGGATATCCATTGTTCTTTTTAATTGTGTATTGGACTAGGTCATTAATTTTATTTTGTAAAAAAGTATTGGATTTTTTACAACTAAAAAATAAAAAAGGAGATAAATTGTCTCACTATGATCACTTGAAATATAAAACACAAAAAACAAAAACCAACTGTAGCATTGGTAATGGCGAAATGTTTCTTCAGCTTCGACTATAAAAATTTAACACAGGATTTTAGTTACATTCATTCTACAAATCTGTGAAAATATCCAGAGAGATAACCTGACCATTGAGGAAGAATGAGAGTCGTGTGGTTTTATTTTGTTGTTTGTTTGTTTTATGACATATTGTCATCTAGGGTGGTGGAGGTCTCTACCAGCATCTTGTTACTGTGGAAGGAGACATTTATAACCTCATGAGCATCAAGAAAACCATTTGAGCTCACTCGGGTTGCTGAAGCACTACTCAGTATCTGGAATTCAGCTTGTTCCCACACTATTAATATTCAGAAACAGTATTTAATATATGAATGCCATGGATTAAGTACACATAATGGTCTTGTATTATTTTTCAGTCAAGTTTAAGCTAAGTTAATCAGGTAAATCTCAAAACACTTTCACATTAGTAATAAGTTAGTAGTGACCTCTTTCTTTCTTCCCTTCTCCCTTCTTTCCTTTCTGTTTCTGTTTGTTTTTATTTTTCTTCTTTCTCTTATTTTTTGGAGTAATGAGAATTAAATATTAGACCTCATGAGTGCAAGGCACACACTCTTACATTGAGCTCATTCCCAGTCCTTTATATTGATGTTAATTTTTCCTCTTAAGTATAACACATATGATAAGAAAAGAAAATTAATATGGCACAGGTTATAAAATAAACCAGATGCCACCCTTTGGGTTAGCAGATGCATGGACTACTTCTAGACAACAGTCTGAGTGAAAGGTGTCTTCTTAGGTCTTAAGATAAATGACAACAACAATCTGTCCTTTGCCTTTATGACATCAGCTGCTCCATGAACATGGCTCAAATGTGAATAACATATGAGCTGTTGAGATTCTGTGTGGATAATTTGTCTTTACGGTGACTTAAGTTAAACATAGTTTCAAGAAAGAAATGTAATTTTCTACATTAAACCCTTAATATTGTTTATTTAGTTGTGCTAAATACTTTAATATTCTATCTAATTATTTGGAGTATCTGTATGTAGAATTTTTTTGTGAATATAAATGGCATCTTTTGAAATATCTGCATTGATTTTTTTAAATGAATTGGCTTTAAGTTGATGCTATCTGATAACAACACATCTGTAGCTCTTTGGACACAAATTATTTTAGTCCTTGTGGGGTAATCTATGAACCACGTTTTGGACCTAATACTACGTTAGACTCTATATTACCAAGAATTGATGAATGGTTCAGATTGTGCAATGGGATTCTGATTTACTATAAGAATTCATGGAACACCAAAATATTTATGGTCACAATGCAATCAATATGGTGATCCATCCTGAAAATAAAGTTTGGACTTTGACTTTGTTTACCTACCCAATTTTCATATGCTGAAAAGTTTTGTATATAGTTATATTTTCAATAAAATACTATATAATAAAAGTGTATAATAGTAATATATCTAGATATTATCATTACAGTTTATGAATCAAACACTTGTTTATTGTATACCAAAATGAGTTCTGGGAGTACTGCAATAAATAAACTAAGCAAAACTTTGATTTTTTGGAGCAGACATTGAGGACTCATATCCAGTATATATAAAAAACTAAAGAAGCTGAAAAGCAGCAAACCAAGTAATCCACTTAAAAAATGGGGAACAGAGCTAAACAGAGAACTCTCTGTAGAGGAATATCGAATGGCAGAGAAGCATTTAAAGAAATGTTCAACCTCATTAGCCATTAGGGAAATGCAAATCAAAACAACCCTGAGATTTCACCTTACACCCATCAGAATGGCCAAGATGAAAAACTCAAGGGACAACACATGCTGGAGAGGTTGTGGAGAAAGGGGAACCCTCCTCCACTGCTGGTGGGAATGTAAACTTGTACAACCACTCTGGAAATCAATCTGGCTCTTTCTCAGACAACTAGGAATTGTGCTTCCCCAAGATCCAGCCATACCACTCCTAGGCATATATTCAAAAGAGGCTCAAGTACACAAAAAGGACATTTTCTCAACCATGTTTGTAGCTGCTTTATTTGTAATAGCCAGAAGCTGGAAACAGCCCAGATGCCCCTCAACTGAAGAATGGATGCAGACATTGGGGTACATCTATACAATGGAGTATTACTCAGCAATGAAAAATAAGGAAATCATGAAATTTGCAGGTAAATAGTGGGACCTGAAAAGGATCATCCTGAGTGAGTTGTCCCAGAAGCAAAAAGACGCACACGGTATATACTCACTCATATAAACATACAACATAGGATAAACCCACTAAAATCTGTACATCTAAACAAACTAAGCAAAAGTGAGGACCCTAACTAAAACGCTCAATCCCCATCCTGAAAGGCAAAGAGGATAGACATCAGAAGAAGAAGGAAACAGGAAACAACCTAGGAACCTGCTACAGAGGGCCTCTGAAAGCCAGAAGAAGAAAACAGGAAACAACCTAGGAACCTGCCACAGAAGGCATCTGAAAGCCTCTGCCCTGCAGACTATCAAAGCAGATGCTGAGCCTGATGGCCAACTGATGGGCAGAGTGAATGGAATTTTATGTAAGAAGTGGGAAATAGCAAGAGCTGGAGAGGACAGGAACTCCACAAGGAGAGCAACAGAACAAGAAAATTTGAACACAGGGAACTTCCCAAAGACTCATACTCCAACCAAGGACTATTCATGGAGATAACCTAGAACCCCTGCACAGATGTAGCCCATGGCAGTTTAGTGTCCAAGTGGCTTACATAATGATGGGAAGAGGGACTGCCTCTGACATAAACTGATTGGCCTGCTCTTTGATCACCTCCCCTTGAGGGGAGAGCAGCCTTACCAGGCCACAGAAGAAGACAATGCAGCCACTCCTGATGTGATCTGATAGACTAAGATCAGAAGGAAGGAGAGGAGGACCTCCCCTATCAGTAGACGTGGGGAGGAGCATGCATGAAAAAAGGGGAGGTAGGGTGGGATCGGGAGGGGAGGAGGGAGGGACTTATGGGGGGATACAAAATTAATAAAGTGTAATTAATAATAATAATAAAGAAAAAAGAAAACTAAACATGAAGATAAATAAAAATATATGAATAAAAAGATAGTATATTTGTGAATCTCTTTGAAATCTATCACACAATCTTTCTAAACAAAGCAGGAAGTTATTGCTAACTGATTTTCAAATTGTTTGGAGATTATTAAGAAGAATCAAAGCAACTGGAGGCATCAGTGGGGTGGAACTGCTGTGGCTTGACTCAGAGTGACTCTTCCAGTGTGAATAACTATCAAATTCTGCTAAATAAAATGTGCTAGGGAAATAAATATAAAAAATTCAGCAGTTAATGTTATTTCTTTAGAGGGGTAGATGAAGAAATAAAATTGCCATATGGGAACAAAATCTCTGCAAAGGGACACTCACCAGCAGAACAGAAGGATTTTAGCTCTGCATCCTGCTTGCCACGTCTGGGGAAAACATCATTTAAAAACTGACATTGCTTTTCTACTTTGTAGATCATTTTAAAATGAGAAAATAGATATTTGGTGCCTTTATCTAAGATACCACTGTGCTATATGTCTTATGTTCATCCATAATATGAAACTGCTTGTTTAGACAGCAACAGATCAATCCTAGAGGAAAGAAGATACAACAGGAGTAAAACATTTCACCACAGTACCATCCCCCTGCTTGTCCATATTGCACATGCTGAAGGACACCTACTTCTTTTCACATCCCACACATTGACAACTTGCCTTCTCTCCCCTTCTGCCCCACACCATATGGCTCTCCTGATTGCAGATCTGTTCAATACATTCCTACTCATCTTCTGAAGTGAAAAAATGGTTTCTTTTGGTCAGGCTTCACTCAGCACGTCTTGGTGAGCAGGCTCTGAAAATTAATGTAGACATGAAGATATTAAGAAGGGAAATGCAACAGGGGAGCAATGTTTAGAACTTGTCCTAAGACAAGCTTTTAGTTTCAATCTAAGGCAAATTTAAAGACGAACATATACTTTGTGTATCTCTCTACTAAACAAGACTTTTGTGGTGATGGATGTATATTCGAGGTACAGACCAAACCATATCAACAGAAGTACAATCAATTGACTTGTTTTTGGTTTTGTTGTTGCTATAGTTTTACAAAACAAAATTCAACAACAACAAAATACTCTTTAAAAAATTCTGCTGCCTCCCCTCCCTGGCAATGGTTAAAGAGGCACCTTGTTGGCAGTGTTTTCATATAAGTCAGGGGAAGAGCAGATGGTCGTTCTTTGTTCAACCTAGCTTGATGTCTGGCTTGGTGGCCAAAGATGTTTCATGACTAGGACACACAAAAATGGTGCTGAAAACTATTAAATAATGTTGCCATATATACACACAACTTATACAAAATTTTCAAAAAGTCAGTGAGTTTAATGCAAAATGAAAAAAAGTTAAAACTTCTAAAAAGAAACTTAAAAAAATCTGCATAGCTTTGCATTTTGCAATGAGCATTTATATATGATACCCAAACCACTATTTTTATAAAATAGTAAATTACACTTTACCAGAGCTTGAAATAATTTAAAATATGAAATTTATTCTTAATAATAGTGTACAAATATTGCCACAATAACAAAAAGTGACAAAGTAACAAAGAAGTTTATCTAAGACACATGAAGAACAGAAATCCAATTTTAAACAATGAATATAAGATTTATATAAACCACACTAAATTAAATGTTGAGATAGTAACAAATAAATACCAATAATGTCACTGTAATTTAATGTTAGCAAAATATGAGATATGAGGCAATGAGATGCCAAACTGAATATATGAGAAGTGAATACATAAAAACGCATGCTAGCTGGATACACCAAATATTAATGTGACAAAATAAGAAATGCCATTCTTTGTAGCTGGGCATTAAGGATGGTTTTCAATACAATTAAAATAGTATGACAACTCATGGATTCTTTCTTAATAAGGTATCTTAAATAATATTAAAATATTTCTGACATTCCTATTATGACATAAAGTACAATTTTGTTCCCCTCCAATGGTACATTTTCTAACTGAAGAAAAATATTTTATGCCTGCAAAAATTGAACTACAGTCCACATAATCTCATGAATTTCTTTGGTGAGAAATTTTGGTTTGGCTTTTCTAACACTATATAGCTCGTCTTTCAGCCTCTGAATCAAAGCATAGCATTTCCTCTACATCCTGGCTCATTTATAAAATATGAAATGAACTGATTGTAGCCAGAAGAAAATTGTATAAAATTTTCCCTAGTATTTGAAGTTCAAAAATTAAATTAAAGTCTTTGTTTCTCTTTTCTCAAGTGTTCCCTACAAGTCAACTCTTTCAAAGCAAAAATTGATGGGCAGGAAATGAGCCATGGAAAATATAGGTATTTACTAATAAAGCAGGTATCGTGTTACTAAGGTAACACAGCTTTATTCAGTTGCTGGTTGAAATCACTAGGATATTGATCTGTAGAATCTATATCAAATTGTTTCTTTTTAGTCTACACACCTTCTCCTGATTATGCTATGGATGTTTCAAAGAACCTTTGTGCATCTTATAAGTTCATTTCTGCCTTGCTTACTTTAGTATATTATTTCATTTCACAGAAATGTATGATTCAACATCCTTAAGTCCTTGGTCAATAACTGCAGATTTACAAAGGCATCCTGGGTCCCTACTCAAGTCAGTTCTTCTTCTGTCTCCTAATTTGTTTCCTAACCATATTAGATTTTCGGTGGGGGGATAGCATATGAATGCATTGATACCAGACCTATGAGCTTTTAGTTTTAAATTTCTATATCAATCCATGTTATTCCCTAACATGTTACTCCTAAGTCATTTTTATCCGATCCAGGCTTTAACAATCTTAAAAATAACTCTGAGTTCAGACAGAAACTAGATCCTTAAGGTCAGTCACAGTGAACTTATAATGAAAAGAACAAAACTTGTATAAAGGTTAACAAACTGTAAAAATTAGAGAGGGTTAAAATTTTCCACTCAATTTTCTTTTACTTAGAAAATTTTAATAATGCAATCTTGTTATGAAAATGGAGATCATGAAATGTTTGAAGATTTTTTCTCCTTGTGTTTTAAGTCACCTATAAAATGAACAATTTAATTTATATGAAAATATTCTCAAGGATGCTACTATATTTTTAAATTATCATGAGAAAATTATGCATGCCAACTAGAAATATAGAACGTTGAATACTGTTATTATGTGAATATATATATAAGAAAGTATATTCTGGCCTGGAAAAGATAGAGACTTAAAGTGAGAAGAAATCACAGAGGCATGTTCATTTCTAAAAGAGTTATCGTTTTCAGATTGCTAAATCAATGTATCTGCTTTTTTATTGCAGTAGACAGAGCATCTAACAAAAATTTAAATTTTAATGAAGTTAATGAGTTTTCATCCACTGACTATTGAGATAGCATAAATTTTTTGAGGTGTTCTTCTATTTAGTAAATAAAATAACACAGCATAGTTTATTAACAAAGTTATATTTTATTGTGCACATATTCATTATTACTAACTTGTGAACTCTGTACAAGCATACAACATATATTCAATATTTTACTTGTCATTCCTGCTTGGATATAACTTGTTTAGGTCCATGCCCTACCACTCTATTCTTTCCAATTCCTCTCCTATCCTCCATTCTACTTTTTCCTTCTATATTCATGTATGTCTTTCAGCCATTTTGAATTAATACATATAACTGTCATGTCATGTCTGACACCCTTTGCATCTTATAGTCTTCTATCATTCTCTTCAAAATTATCCCTAAACATTGGGAGAGGCAATGTAATATAGCTGTCTTTTAGAACTGAGCAATCTATAATCTTATTATCTGCAAATTGATCATTTTGGATCTTCATATTAATTGTCTATCGCAAAACACAGTATTGTTTTGGGAGTATTCTCATATCTAATACTGGGGTTTGTTAGATAGAATACGGTTCTTTGGAGGGTATTATCATTCCCTTGTGGCATTACTTAATTTAAATCTCTCTCTCACACAAATACACACACACACACACACACACACACACACATAATGTAAACATTCACTTATGTATATTAAAATATTATTTGTAATTTTAGGTAAACATAAAACAATGTGATTCTTTGTGACTTTTGCAAACATGTAATATTGTTAAGTTGTAATAACTTACATAACTGTTTAAAATTGTCAAAACAGAGAATAGATTTGAGTTAAATGCTAGTTATTTAAAACAGATGGTATTTATAATTTTATTGCTTACCCTTATACTCTGTTTGGAGTCACAATATTGTGTAGAACATAAAAATTTATTGGTATAATGGATTACTAAAAATCATCACCTAGGCCCACTACACATATGTACCCAATGGGCAGCTTTGTTTTCGTGTGGGTTCCCTAGTAAGGGATAAGGGGCCAACTCTGACATGGACTTTGCTGCCTGTTTTTTAAACACTTCTCCCTGGCAGAGCTGCCTTGCCAGGCCACAGTGGAAGAGGATGTTCTCAGTCCTGATGTAACTTGATGTGCTGGGATAGGTAGGTGAAAGGGCCTCTCCTTTTCTGAGGGGTAAAGGAGATGAGGTAGGGGGAAGAGACAGAGAGACGGTGGGCCCTAGAGGAGAGGACTGAGTGATCAACAACTGGAATGTAAAGTAAACAAATATATTAATTAAATATATTAAAAAAATAATATCACCAACTCAAGCCCAGAAACTTGAACCTGTGTTTCTATGACCTTTAGTGGAGTATTCACTATTTATATCTTATCTAAAATCCTAACTTTGGGTCAAAGGTTTTGTGTAGGAGGGAAGACTGGTGGTGTCCTTCTCCCACCACAGGACGTCCTACCTGGATATGGATATTGGAGGTGGCCACTTCAGTCTCCATCTGCCCTGGTGCTAGGAGTCTCAGCTAGAGTTACCCCCATATCTTCCAAGCAGCTTACCCTGATGCATATCTTCAGCCTGTCCCAGAGATGCCTTCCCCTCCAACCAGCATCAGTTTCACTTCTATCTCCTAGCCCTCTCACCTTCCTTTCCCATTCTCCCCACACCTGATCCCCACTTTCTTTCCCCACTCCCTCTCCCAACCAGTTCCCAATCCTTCCCCTTCCAAAGTCTAATTTTATTTCCCATTCTGAGTGAGATTCAGGCACCCTCCCTTGGACCCTTCTTGTTATTTAACTTCTTTGAGTCTGTGGATTGTAGTATGGTTATCCTGTACTAAATGGCTAAAAACTACTTGTAAGGGAGTACATATCATGTGAGTCTGGATATGGGTTACTTCACTCAGGTTAATCTTTTCTAGTTCAATCCATTTGTCTGCAAATTTCATGATTTCCTTGTTCTTAATAATTCCATTGTATAAAAGTATCATATTTTCTTTATCCATTCTTCAGTTGAGGGAAATCTGGGTTATTTACAGTTTCTGGCTATTACAAATAAAGCTGCTATGAAAATAGTTGAGCTAATGTCTTTGTGGTATGATGGAGCATCTTTTGGGTATATGCTCAGGAGCAGTAAGCTGAGTCTTGAGGTAGAACTATTCCCAATTTTCTGAGAAAGCACAAGGTTGATTTCCAAAGTGGTGGTTGTACTTCGTTATTGCTGTTTTGAAGTACTAGGTTAAACCTGGTGTTTCAAGCAGTACAGGTGAGTGGTATGCAACAGAACCTCACCCCTTACAGCGTGTAACTCACTCAATATCCAAGAATAGCTAAAATAATGAGAAATAACCTGCTTGTGCATCAGGTTCCAGCAGCCTACTTCTGGCTTTGCTTTGATAAGATAAATAAAAACCATCAAAGACAGATACTTGTTCAACAGAGGATGAAACAAATTTGATAAACTAAACATAAAGATGTGTATGTTGTATAGGGGCCATTTAGCAAAGAATGTAGGTCGTCTATCCATACACTAACTTTTTACAAACATCTGACCAACCAGAAAGTCTGTCCAATAACATAATGGCTTTTCAATAAAATGTTACTGTGCCAAATTGTTTCAATGAGATGAGGAAGGTGCCTTCTGCTTCCCCATGTGTGAAAGGTGACCTCATTTACTCTTAATAGGGCATTAGGTGATATTTGATTGATGTGTTTTCTAGACTCTACTAGTTTCAGTGACAGTCATTGGCGACAGCAGTTGGTGTTGGCTACAAGGTTTAAACAGATGTAAGTGGTAGATACTTACATTGTATTAAAAAAATATTGTGCAACCGACATAGAGTTGATAGGAACAAGGCTAAAAACACACATTCTGTTTTTTTTGCAGTGACATTTTTGTATTGTTTGGAAGAAAGGCATTTCATGAAATTAC